GTTTGTTGTAGGGCTTTGTGTTTACTTCTTTTATCTTCACAAATCAACTAAACATACAGTTAGCCCCGGGGAGCCCAAAGAAGTTTACATGTCCCATTTTACTGTAAACAACACAGTTTTAACACAGGCCTACTCTTTTTTCTTTTCTTCCTCAGAGAGCTACACATTTGAGCAAAACCTTGAGTTGTGCCACTTCTGTGAGGCCAGCCAGCAGCTCATGGAGAGAGAGGAGCATCTGTTTGGAGAAGCAGACACATTTAAACATCACGAGGAAGAAGCAAGCAAGCTGGCTGCAGATTACATGAGGCTGAAGGACCTCGTGCAGCAGACTGTAATGCAGAGCCTGACTGGCAGCACAGCTGAGGCTCTGACATCTGCTGTCAAGGCCATCTGCCAGGAGGACAAGCGGGATGAGCTGTGGAAACAGAGAGGTCACCCATGGCCAGTCTGGAGGCCCTGCAAATGGAAGGAGCTCCACATCTCTGCGCTCTCTAGCTTGGTGATGGAGCGCATGGACAAGCCCTCGCCGCTCCCTGCTGTCAAGGAGGCGGTCCAGTCGTCTCTCCAGGTAGACGTCAACAGCATGGGCAAGCAGCTGAAGGACGATATGCTGCTGGTGGTGGAGGACGTGAAGAGCTGCTACCCACCAGAGATGGACATCTGTAACTGTTACGCCAAGTTGTATCACAAAACCTTCGGCACCAAACTCCAAAGGATTACAGACTTCGGTCTGGATGACAAGGACTGTTGCTTCCTCCTGCGCTGGGTGAACGAGTATTATCCACTGTAAGTTATGTTACATCTACATAAACTTGGTGTTACAATCTGACAGGCTGAGCTAGTTTATGCTTCCCAGAGCATAAACAGTTTAAAGTTTGGATTTTCCACCGCGTTTGTCTTGCTCGTCCCTGTTTATTCTGTTTACAGAGAAATGAATGAGCAACCATCAACTTCTCAGACTGAGCAGTGGACAAAGCAACTTGCCCTAAAGTTGTTCAACTGTTCAGGAAGTGTAGAAATCAGCTGGAGGCCAGATACAGGTCCTGCAGTTCTGCAGGAATAGTACAATAGCAGCTAAAAGACAGGTTGAGTCATGTTGTACAGTTTGGTTTGGGTTCTTTTTACACAGCAACATCCTGGGATTCACAGAGCAGTTGGTTGCATGCTGTTTTCAAAAAGTTGCTTCTTGTTCTTTTTTTGAAAGTCAGAGAATAAAGTCAAATGAAAAATTGATGAGTACAAATGTGCAGCATATGTATTTGAATTGATGGCCTTTGCCTTTTGGTTTTAGAGTTAATATGTGTCAAGGCAGTGATAAAAGTTGTGATTCCTTCTCTCTGTGTTAGAATCCTTCAAAACCAGCAGCTGGCCACTGAGATCGATATGGAAGCGTTGGGAGGGCTGCTGCCTGCAGAGATACTAACACTTCTGGAGGACCAGTACCTGAACACACAACAGGTAACCACAGCTCAGTTTAGATTTAGTTCTAGTATTGTTTTCCACTAACAACATTGTCAAACACTGATGCTGGTCTGTAAATCAGTACAGTCCATAATTCTGTTCACAGTAAGCTAAACCAGCAACTACAGGTCAGATTGGCATTAAATTTGTCGTGGATATTCGTGAACTCCTGTAGCTGAATCCTAATGTTTTGGGATCCTCCTGACTGAATCTCAAGATCCTAACCAGGCCACATTTTTAGTTATAAACCAGAATATCAAAATTTACTGAGATTGTTCCCTTTTATTTTGATTGACCTGATGAAATCTACTCTAGTGCAAGTTGTGTCTAATAACCATAAACTGAGTGTATGGGTGGCATGTTGTGTTCAGGTTGAGCTGGAGACTTACATCGGCCGTGTCCTGGAGGAAACAGAGGAAAAGTGGAAGAAAGGAGAGGAACCAAAAAAAGAGGACGGCTGCTTCATCAGTACTGTTGCTCAAGACATTGTTCAGGTAGCATATCAATATGACAGCGTGATGTCTGTGCAAATTCTCCGTCATCCAGGTCATAGTAAGCTTCACATTGTCAATAAGAGCCTCTTTAACATCATGTTGTCATCTGAAAACATGATATTGTTGGCTGTCGAAGGATATTTATCCCACAGTGGGATAAATATAATGTTAAAGAGGCTCTTACTGACAACATGAATGTAAAAAGCTTTATTTTGGTATTTAATCACAATCGAGTATGCTGAGGTCTATTCACTGAGTCTGGCCAAATGGATTCGACAGCTGCTAAGTCAAGGCCATGCATTAATAATTTTTCATGCTGAAATCACATGAAATGTTTCCTCATGTCCTCTGCTGTGCTGCTTAGGCCATGAAAGGTCAAGGAAGTTAATGACAGTATTTTCCAGCCTGTTTCACGTTAATTAAAGCTACACGGAAGAAGAAACAATATTAGAGAAGGTTAGCCAAAAAGGACGGCAGTGATTTGTGAATTATTTATAGAAAGTCAACCCTGACTAAAAACCTGTTACACTCAGCGTTCCTTTGTCTCTGTTAAATATTTCTAACAGTCCTGCAGTCTGGCCACTGAAAGGGGCACTGGTACTGCTGAGTTAAAGGTTCAGCGTGACTGTTTACAAAAATGCTGCAAACACTGTTTAAAAAGCTTTGGATCTGAAGTTCTGAAAGTTGTCAGTGAAATAAAAATGCTAAGGTCACTGATTTGTGTTCTCTGTCTGTGTGTAGATCACCAATGGTATGGTGACGTCAGCTGAAAAAGTGGTGCTAGAACTGGACAAGGCCAAGAGAATAACAAGCCAACTGCATGTTTTGATGCAAAGGTAACAAGAGTGATGATTTTCTTCTAACAGGTCTGATGTTTAATGGCATTTTTGTTTCATACCAACAGTGAAAATCAATTGTTTTCCTGCAGGTTCAGCACCTTCCAAGATAATGTGATAAAGCAGGACAGAGCAAACAGCAAGGCGATTGTCAAGGCGAATCTCCACTGCATCAACCAGTTCGAGTACGTTTCTGACATTAAGGCCTGGTAGGACAGAGGTTATAACTGCAGAGAATGTCACTGTGAGTGAATGTGGCTTGTGTGTTTTCTCTGCAGGGACTTCCTTTTTAAAAGGAGCCAGCTGTTCCCAGAGCCTGTGCAGAAAAAATGTTTGAGTATCCTGGCTCACATGAGAGAGTCTGCGCACGAGTACTTATTAAGGAATGTGCATGCTTTCCTCCTGGTAAGTTCATCTACAGAATTTATTTTTTCTGATTGTCAACAAATCTCAT